AATTTTCTCATATAAAATAGTTGTTTGTTACCATTCCAATAATTCAACAAAGGTAAAGTTTACCAAGTAAAAACACTAGCGGAGAATCGGACTGAGGTTCTTAAACTTTATTCTAATTGCTTGTTTCACATTTGAATATATGTTAGATCGCCACTCTCATTTGATCTAGGAACAAAAATGTCTTATCAACGACCAAGAACAAGCAATCTTAATGGCTAATATTAAAAAGATTCTAATTCCTACTTCATATTCATTTCTTTTCCTATTATTTCAGTACTTTCACTATAAGTATATATTTTATCATCTATTAAAAGAATTCAGACTATTCAATTGTTATGAAAATGTGTCAGTATTCCTAAAAAAAAAAAAAAGTGTTAGTTCAACGGGTCCTTATTATACTCGATTATTAATGTGTGATTTTCATTTTTAGTCTCGGAATTATTACACTCGATTATTAATATGCTGAACAGATAAAAATTTACATCAATTGAAATTAATAGTTAAGATAAAAATTTAATAAGGACTACAAGATTAATTTTTTAAATCATAGTGAGAACTTTTTATAACACACTTTTTTATTTATTTATAAAATTATAAAGTATAACACACTTAGGTCCCCACTCAGTTGTTGCTGGCTTGTGCCTGACCATGTGAACAATTATTTTGATGATATTTTAATGCATGCATATTATACATTATATTCCTTAAAACTACAAGATAGTGACCCTAAAAATAGAAAGATATTTTCAAAAATATAAAAAAGGTAATTTTAATTGCAAGAATCATTTCAATGTTTATGATAACATGTTTATGATAACAAAACAATGCTTTTTTTTTTTAAAGGAAATTTTAATTGCAAGAATCATTCAATCAATCCTATCATGTGTGCTTGTAAAGAATCATTCACTTGTGAGGGAAGCTTTTTCCCAGAGCATATAATGCTTTGGGCAAAAAAAACAAATAATCTCATGTCGAAGAAATAGAGGAATCCATCAAGGCGGAGTTGCCAAAGAGGATATTGAAAAAGGTTGGTCTACGTTCCCATCACTTTAGCACTTTTGATTTTATTTTTATTTATATTGACTTTTAGGAGAAGTTTTTTTTGTTCCTCCGGATGAATTTCAAACGAAAGTATTGTTCATGAATTGTTTTTAATTATTGGATGTGATTAAAATTATATTAAATTAAAAGAGTATGTAGAATATATATTTTTTTATACGAATCTAAGAACTAAAAGTAAAAAATTTTTGATATTTTATTTTTTGAGATTAAGAGCGTAGTCTGTTTATGTTTCCTATTGGTGATAATTATTAGAATTTTGGAGAGAAAAATTTGAAGAAAAGAGAAATTGAAAATTCATAGGACCCATCAACTTTAATCATTTTCACCATATTTTTTTGTTTCATCATACATTAAAAATATTTTTTTTGCCTTTTCTTTTTAAATATTGTCCACCTATTTTTCTTCTCTCTCTTCTTAAATATTACAGTAATCAATTGTTTCACACTCTAAATGTGTGGCATATCGTTTTTCTCGTTTTAATTAGCAGGAAAACCAGGTCTTTACCAAAAATCAGGAACAAACAATCCTCATGGCAATTTTCTGAATTCATAGTAGTTGTGAAAGTGTTTTTGATTCCAATTCCCAGTTTGACAGAGTTTTTTTTTTTTTTTTTTTTTTGTGGCTTTGTCCTAGGTGAATATGTGGTCCATATGCTTGCCTCCTTTTGTGATTCTCTATTAAGAAAACTGTTATTTTCTGGCCATGAGACTAATTATGTTGGTTACATTACTATTATTCTTCTTTTTCTTCTTTTTGGCTAAAAATCGTGTCATGACCTGTTTAACAATACAAAAGGAACTTGGTATTAGGGTTTATTTTATTTTATTTTTCTTTAACTTGCAAAAGTATAAAGGGCTTACATTTCAACTTCTTTTTTTTTTTTTTTTTTTTTTTTGTAGTTGTTGTATTTCTAAACTTAGTATTGAAGGTCAGAGCCAAAAAAAAAAAAAAAAAAAAAAAAACCTTAGTAGGGAAGGGGAGTATAAAATTATCACTAAACTAAATTTGAACCCAGATTCCTTTCAGAAATTTTTTTTTTTTTTGAACCTAGATATGAGCATTATTCTTTAGAAGTAAAAGATAATGAACATACTATGTGGATGAACCTCGTAAAGTACTTTACTACATCTCTTATTTATAATGATTGAATAATTCTTATTTTATTGATAAAGTAAGTTATTTTTTTTAGCCATTTGATTTACTTTTAGAGATTTAATTTATGAATAAGAGTGTTTTGTATTATATAGTGCATTATTTTTAATGTGAATACTCATAAATTAAACAATTAAAATTTTATTAAATGACTAAAAAACTTACAATACCGGTATGAAAAAACAATACATCATACCGTAAAATTCTCTATAACATTAGGAAAATTTTTCGTAAGGCACATTATTTTATCCTGTTGGTAGAGTAAGTTTCTTTTAATCCACCAATTTTAGCGATCAAATTGAGGACTAGAAAATGGGGGAAAAAAGTTGCAGGAAGCATTATATCTCTATAAATCTATGTGCTTGTGCATGCCTGTAATCTTTAGTATTCCGTCTTTTTCTAAACCAACGAGGATTGGATCCCTTAGATAAGAAGCAACCAAAGATCATTGGTTATCCCTTTTTTCCAATGGAAAAAAATAAAAATAAAAGTCAATGGTCAAATTTGTTTTTAAGTATATACAAGTGGGGGCCAACTAATGAGGTTTAAGTCATCACCTGGGCGGGAAGCAAAGGTTGTCAAGAGGACATTGCAAAGGCTCTCCTATGTGGGAATTTACTTTTTTTTGCTGAAAATGTTCCCATTTACTTTAGTTGTACTATGACATATATATATATATATATTGTTTATGTTTCTTTATGAAGAATTGCAATACCACATGCCTTCTAAAGAGTCATTGGATTCTAAATTTGAAAAATAAATTTAAGATTTCTTAAGGTTTCTTCAGTTGCATTTTTAAGTTATGATGATTTGAGTGTAGATTTTGAGTTAAATTTGAGTTATAATTTGAATTGAAGTTGTAACTTGAGTTTGTGTTTGGTTGTGTATATTTGAGTTATGGTTTGAGATGAGAATCTTTTTGAGTTTGTGTTTGAGTGTGTTAAAACTTAAATTTATATTTAAATAGTATTTTAATAAAAACTCAATGATAATGACAAATTTTAATAGGGTATACGGGTGGGATTTTATTCATCTTTTCGTTGTACACGTACAAAAAAGAATCATCTCAATCGGAATTAAAATGAAAAAGTTATGACGTTTTCAATAATAGGGAAAATATTGTTCATTAACTTGAGTTGAAGGGAGAGCTTGAAGATTTTAATCCTAAACTCAAATTAAAACTCAAGTTAAAACTCAAATTTTACAAAAGAACATGAATTTGAATAAAGTGTTAATTTGAGTCTTTTTTTTTTTTGAGTTTCAATGCAAACGAACAAGCCCTAAGATTTTTAACAAATGCATTTTAAACTTTTCGTTAGTTGACAAATTAAACAGTAAACTTTTTAAGACTAGTTTGTTTTTTTATATTTAAACTTATAATTTTGATTCTGATATAGTATTTTCTTCTAATAAAAAATTTAAAAATTAAAAATTAAAATTAAAAATTACTGATTTAAACACGTAAATTAAACGATCTCTTAAATTCTATCATTTCAACAAGAAGTATCGTTTATCAATTTACATTCGTTATTGATTGGACTATAAAGTCAAAGATCGTTAACATGCAAATAGCAAAAAGTTGAAGATACATGACTTGATTCCAATTATGAATTCGTGTGGGAATTTTCTTGGAAATTAGTGTAGGGAGTAAGGCCAAAGGGTGACACGTGTAGTGTGTGACGTAAATGGGCAGGAGGTTCTAGTGATGCCACAAAACGCGTGAATGTGATCCCATTGTGTTGTGTAATGTTTTGTTCTGAGAATAACATGATATATTTACGTCTAAACGGTACTTTGTGTAACTTTGTATTGTATTCAAAAATGGAGAGTTCCTCAACTTTGTATTGTAACATAAAAGCCTAATAGTTAGGTCAAATTTATAGCCCGGTTACTTTCCGTGATCAATTGCAAACAAATAGAAGAAGAATAATGTTAGGAAGAAATAATGTAAAAAGATAAAAAAAGATATGAGAAAATGTGATTTCCCATCTCAATTTTTAGTAATAGGCATGAATTAGCTCATGATGGTGATCCATTCGTGATAAGATTGGCCGATTTAAATTTCAGACGCTTGAATATTCATATAAGTATATATATATATATATATATTTTTTTTTTTTTATTCTTTATTTATACTAGATTACAAATTCACATTGGACAGAGCTGATGTGCAGGCCAGCATCGCGAGCAAAAAGTAGACCTTCTCTGACAGATAACAGATACGGAGATAGTAGCCATTGCGTCTAACACCAACATGAAGCAGTCACAGATAACAGCTCAAATCCCTATCCAAGAAGAGCCAGGCACAACAGCAGCATCGGTGTTGAGCTTGAGGACAGCATTAGCAGGGAGGCTCCAAGATGCAGGCACCGCAAAAGTAGCCTTATGGAGGACAGTACTTCATTGCTTTTGTGAAACTCATCAAGAAGTGTCTTTCTTTATCATTTATGCATTGTTATTCTTTCCACTAGAAGGAATGGCCAGACATGGTCACAAACAGAGGTATCAACTTCTGATGTTCCACTTGGAATATCACAATCCTTTTGGTAGTGATTTCATGGTACCAGAATTAGAAGCAAGGAAAAATTCGCAGTTCAAAGTTGTCTTTGGGACTATGGAGTATTTCAGATATATGCTCCAGCACCGTAATCTAAGACTTCAAACATTCTGGTTCCATTTGGAAGCTGCAGAATTTATAGGCTTTGAGACTAAGCAGATACAAGATAAACTCGAGGAACTGGCATGAGATAACAGGGAAGATGGTCAATTAACTGCAGCGCAAAGCCGCATAGCTCTCAGAACATTGACCATTTTATGTTACGAATGACCAATCTCGTAACTGTGCCTTTCGTGGCAGACCTTTCTGCATTTTGAGATTAAATGAGTGACGTTAAAAGCTTAATTTGGCAGTAGAGACAACCAAGATTGCAGATTTTAAATAAGAGGATTACCTTTTAACTCGAGGCTTTGCACTCATGGCTTCAAGAATCTTATTGTGCTTCTATAAGACAGTATAAAAAATTGTTTCAATTTCGTAGCTTTTCCTCGTGTGGCTACCATCTTCTGCAATACATGGAGTCGAGATAGAAAGGTTCCTCAATTTGGTATCTGTACAAGAGAATATTCATCAGCTTATCTGTGAATTGTCCTGCATTGAATGGCAGAAGGATCTCAAAAAAACTCGCATAGATCTACATCTTGTAGCTTATGTCATAGAGGTTCAAATAGACAAATGCATACAAAGATAATGAAAGTTGGATTTAAAATAGGGTAAGAAAAACTTTTGTGCCAACTTCCATGGAGAAACAATTCCTTTAAGGAAAAGAATCACTACATCTTTAGAAAGGCGTGCATATTCACTATGTATAGAATTTGCATGTCCATTGCTTTCTTTCTTTTTTGATTTTTCCTTTTCCATTCTTAAATTCAATACCACATAGCATTCACTGTTACAGAAAATGAATTTCATACCACAAAATGTCATCCACCACTCCTCATTTTAGGAGTAGCTTGACACGCTTCCTTGCCGGATACCTCCTACAGAGTACATACAGCTGCAGGAAGTTCCAAGTGAAGTATATTATTCTATTCTATAAGCATTAATATTAAAAAAATGACAGAAATTGAGATTTTCATAAATATTTTTGCTCACCTTGGTTGGCAATTTGATTTCATTGCCCTACTTCGTTGCAGCTCTCACGGGTGATTCGCCGAAGTGTGTGACACTGCAACCAAGAAAAGTTACCAGTTTAAATCAAAGTATTATCCTATAGATAAATTATTGTACAGGGTATGCAAAAATGCTACTACAATTAACCAACCTTCTTTGGATAATAAGTACGCAAATAGATTCATCTAAAGAACATCCCACCTCTTCAAATTACGTATAACTTCGTGTCTTTGTTGTGAATTGAGATATTTCTTGCCCTACGAAGTAGGATGTCTTAGGTATAATTTACATCTTTTGATCTGATAAATTGGGTGACCTAACAAATTACCAGTAAAGGATAACTAATAAACAAAGCATACACAAAAAACATAGAATTAAGAAACCTTCTAGATTACCAGGTTTTACATGGCAAATGTGAGCAACTTGAAGAGCAGCCACATGAAAGTCCTGCCTGCAATAGCCTCACAGCACTCAGAACGTTGATTCTTTCAAGTTGCGAAGTCCGTTCTCCTTTGCACCATCTTGAGAGGCCTGCTTGCATTAGACACAAGGCATTAATTGAATGAGGAAAACTTGATCTGGCAGAAGGATTGGCAGCTTTGCTTGCCACTCCTATGACTTGAAGGATTTGTAAGACAGTTCAAAGCTTCAGTATTGACTTCCATCTTCTTGAACGGATATAGGATGGGAGATCTATGCCATTTTTTCATAACCAACCAAAAAAAAAAAAAAAACTGTCCACATCATCATTACAAAAGAGCACAAGAACATTAACAGAGTTGAACACTTCCAAAGCATATTCCTAGATAAACATGGACACTCAAATATCATTACTTAAACACGTTAAATTCAAGAGAAACACAAATTACCCTGAATGTGTAATATAAGTCACTGCCAGCTAGGAGAATCCTCGAGGTTATTTTGTAGCAATATTTTCTGCTCAACGGATGGAACCATACCTAATACAGAAAACAGTAGTTCAAGCCCAATTCACGAACAAAATATCATTTCACTAAAAATTTTCAACTAAAAGTTATAAAACCCTACTTTGAATTGAAAATTTCCGCTTCCCCCCCCAAAAAAATGCCATATCAGCTGCTGCAGTGCACATCACCATTCCACCTTACACAACTGATTGAAATTGTAGAGTCTAAGAATATTGGTTTCAACTTGTAACGACAATAGCCATAGAATATATATCATATCTGGAAAATCAATATAAACACACAAAAGGAGCAGATGTGTACCACGTCAAATTCTCTTCAAGTGCTTTAGTGGAACATCGTTGCCAGTGGACTTTTTGCACCAATATTATTTCCTCTTCTTGAGTTCTTGCTCTCTCTGAACATAAGAATGAAACAAATATGAGAGTATTCAACATTTACGTTCGTAACTCCAATACAACAAGCTTACAGATCTTTTTTGGTATATACACACACGCTAGCTCAGGGCTAAAAGATTTTGTTACTGAAAAGCCATGGAGAAATTCTAGGATAAAATATATAGCTGAGATAGGATTTGTGAATGCCATAGAAAATCATCAATTCTGTAAAACCAAAACGCAAAAGAAAAACAGAGAGCACGACCAATCACTAGGAAAAAAGGAAAAAAGATGTAAAAAATAAAATAAAAATAGCGGCAACAAAAGCCACAAACTAAAATGAAAGGCATTACCAATAATGAGAGTTGAAGAGAAAATAAATACCTGAGCAAAAACTTGTTTGGGGGAAAGGCGTGGATTTGTCTGCGTTGAAACAATCATGAAATGATCTCGTAGTTGATTTCTACGCAGAAGATGCGATCAATTTTGTTCCAATACTCACCCTCATCCCTTTTGCATTTTTTCTCAAGCAGAGGGCATTCAGAGATTTCCAATATTTCAAGAGAGGTCGGAAACCCTTCTTCTGGGATTGTCAGCAACTTAGGGCAGTCGAAGACCTCTAGATGTTTCAAGGAGGTGAGTTGTTGAAGCCCATTATTGTCCAGGGCTTTAAGACGTGGAAATCGTCCAATATAAAGATCGGTAGTAGTGGTAGGCAGTAGCCCTTCCTCGGGAAAGGATTCCACATTTTCATTAAATCCGGAAATACTAAATTGTGTAAGATTGGGGAGCCTTTGCAAATTCCAATTCACCCGGGAGTCAATGAGCTTATCGCAAAACCAAATAGAAAGAGTAGACAAACTAAATGGCAAACAAGCTTGAGGGAAAGACTCCATCTCTGGACAATCATGAATGAATATAATTTGCAAAGATGGGAGGAGGTCATACATTTTCTCCGGCAGCAACTTCAATTTCTTGCACCGAAAAAAATAAAGGGAAGTGAGACAGGGGGCACGGAATCCACCTTTAGGAAATGATACAAAATTGGGGCACGACTCGATCATGAGAGATGTCAAGTTCTGGCATAACCCATTAGACACTGTCAGGGATTCTAGACTTTCGGAATCAGAAATATCAAGGTCTCTGAGCTTGGGAAAAGAATCAAGGAGGAAGGACCCAAGGGAATAACTACCATCCCGTATCTTAAGAACTTGAAGCGACTCGTGGACGTGGCCTAGTAGAAATTCTAAATTCCCAGAGTGACTTATATCAAGTTTTTCTAGAGTAGTTGGCAGACATCCAACCGGTATCAAGGAAGAAATATTGGAAATTTCCAAGTTTTGAGGGCGTGATTCCATGCGCTTCAAGGCCTCAAAGAATGATTTTACTTCCAGTTCATTGCTAAGGCCACAAACATCGATATCACAGACACTTGGCATTGTTGGAAGTGAAAAAGCAAGCTGACCTTGACATCTAATTGTGAGCTTCGTTAGCAAAGGAAGGTAGCGAGGCAAATCCCCAATGAGCTTGTCGCAGTTGTCAATCTCAAGTTCTTTTAGCTTTTTGAAAGTCCCACCATCTTCATTTTCAGCTTGCATTGGAATCCATTTCTGCCAGGATGACATATTACTCAACTTTAAGATTTCTAATGATGAAAATGGCTCTTTCCCATGACTTGCATTTCCATAAAATTCTGGACCCACAATCACAACTTCATCAAATGCCGAAATGTGAAGAGTTTTGAGGGAAGGTAGTTGCCCGAGTGGTGGCAGTGAAGAGCAGTTTCGACACTCGGAAAGCTCTAGAAAGGCAATGTTGGCAAACGAATCACACCCAACCCACTTTGAAAATTCTTTGCCTGGGTATTGGTAAATCTCAAGCCTCTTCAAGGTTCTATTAGGTAGTAGCATGTCGAGTACATCCCGCGCATGGGTTGGATCATCATTAGTACCATTGTAGTTCCATTGCAACTTCAACGTCTCAAGATGATTTTTATCCATCAGCTTTGCCTGCTCTAAAGCATGCTTAGGATTTACAACGTTTTCTAAATTCATTATGTGAAGTTCCCCATGAAGATCTGAAAGTTCCTTCAGCTCTCCAATCTTGGTCCCACTATCTCTTCCCACAATGAATTTGCTCAATATTCGGAGACTTTTCAATCTACTTATTTGCGTTGGCATCTCTACTAGGTTGTCGCATAAACGGACATCAAGGTGTCTCAAGTTAATGAGACGATGCATATTCTTTGGCAACTTTTGGAGATCATCACAACCAAGTAATTTCAATGTCTGTAGATTGGAAAGCATGCTTACTGACTCTGGCAACATTCTGATGCTTGTGTTCGAAAGGTCTAGGAAGCGAAGATGTCTCTGTTCACCGAGCGAATTGGGCAACTGATGGACATTTTGATACCCACACAAAGAAAAGACTCTCAAACACCTCAACTTCAGCAAATCATCTACTACTTTGATAGATATCTCGTTATAGTGTCGGCGTCGATAATGCAATATTGGTAGAAAGGTGCGCAAATGAGTTGCTGTTGAAACAAACTTGAATCTCTTATATGGATCTTCCCGTGCAGGAATATATCCAAGATAGCGCGCCTTCTTCATGGTCTCACTTGAGTTGCCATTTTCTAGTTGTAAACAATACTCCTTGGCTACAAATTTAGCCAAATCATTCATCAAATCATGCATCACAAAGAAGAAGTTTCCATCTCTTTCTTTTGCTTCAAATGTAAAAGCACCAACACGAGTACTTGATGGCTGAAAAAATGATCTGGATACTGAATCATTAAAAAACTCTTCACCCCATTCTTCACTTCCCCTGTCTACACTTGAATTTGGTAAAAGCTTTTCTGCCATCCATAACAAGACCAAATCTTCCTTCTTAAATTCATAGTCTTTGGGGAATACTTCACAATAAGCAAAGCACCGTTTTAAGTGTGAAGGGAGATGATGGTAACTCAATCTCAAAGCTGGAAGAATGTTGCTCTGGTCATCCTTCAACTCCCAAATGGAACTTTTTAATATGTTTTCCCATTCCTTGGCATCCAACTTTGAACGCAAAAGGCCGCCAAGTGTTTTCGCAGCTAATGGCAAGCCTTTGCATTTCTTAACAATTTCTTTGCCAATTGTTTCTAAGTCTGGATATGAAGTAATGTCAGCATTGCCAGATGCATGCTTAGCAAACAACTGCCAACAATCTTCCTCTGTTAATTCCCCAATATGAAGAGTCGGAAATGTTCCCATGATAAAAGCAACATTTTCAATTCTTGTTGTCACAATTATCTTGCTTCCTTGAGCCCCAGCTTTGAAAGGTAGACTCATGATATCCCAATCAGCCGGCTTCTCATTCCATACGTCATCTAAGACAACCAAAAACTTCTTTCCCGTTAGCTTCTCTTTCAACTTAACTTGAAGCAAATTCAGGTCCGTCACTTTATCCTCAAAAGAAGAAGACGATTGAAGCAACGTTTTTGTTATGCTAAACACACCAAATTGTTCAGAAACGCAGACCCATGCCATAAAATCAAAGCACTCAACAACCTTTTTATCGTTGTAAACTAGTTGAGCAAGGGTGGTTTTTCCAATCCCACCCATGCCCACAATTGGAATCACCCCTATCTTACTGCTGCTGCCGCCTTCATCATTTGATAACAACAAGTTGATTATATGATCCTTCTCTTTGTCTCTGCCATAAACTTCAGACTCTTCTACCAGAGATGTTGAAGGTAACCTCAGCGATGATCTCTCACCAACAGGACTCTCTTTAAGTCTAAGGACATCCTTGTGTTTTTCAAGATCTTCCAACCTCCCAAGAATCCTCTTGATCCTGCTCTCCATATCTCGATTATTTGAATTGTGAGATTTGGAAAACAGATTTCTGATTTTTTTCTTCAGCTTGGGGAGATTACGTACCTTGCTAGAGCTGGCTTCCGCTTCCACCTTGAGCTGAAGAGCATCAGCTTCAATCTCATCCAACAGATCATCTGCATCGAAGAAAGCCTCTTGAAGATCATCCAGCCACTCGTCCACTCCCGGGACCTTTCGCATCTGCTTCTGCTCCGCATCATCGAGCACCGCAGTGACAACATTCAGCGTAGACTTCAGCTTTCTAAGTAGCTCGTCAAAATTACGACCTTTCAACTTTCTCCGCAAGTAGGCCAGAACCTCAGGAGAACTAAGCCTCTCAAACAGAACTTGAAGGGAAGCAGAAAGAAAAGCTCCTCCCACCAATGCTTCAGCCATGATTTTTGTCTTCAGTAGTTGAGTTTGCACGGCCAAGACTAAAGAGAGAGATGAATAGTACTGACTTCAGAGGTCAACCCACGTAAAAGATATTGGTTGGAGAAGGAGAAAGGTAAATTGGTTGTAGAAGGGTGGAAGTAAAAGATATTTTACTTACACCGTCTTTTTTACTCTTCACGCTCCCTAACTACATACTCCACGTAAATTAATTTATCACTTCAATATTTTATTTTGTTTATATCTTTTTTTTTTTTTTTTTTTTTGAAACTTTAGGCATATAGCCTTTTTTTTTTTTTTATAAGTTCAATAGGAAAACAAAAAAATTAAAAATAATAAATGAAAAAGTAAATGAAAAAATAAAAAAATATAAATTAAGTTATTGAATATTGATTGTCAGTATTGAAAAAAGAAAAAAAAAAACCATACGGAAAAATACCATAACTGACATTATAAAAACGAAAAAAGTGAAACAATTTACTTAAAAGATTGATTAGTAAACAAATATTAACACCAAATCAAGAACAAGATTAAAAGAAAAAACAATCTTCATATAACTAATAATAAAGAAAATTAAACTACCTCCATGTGACATTTTTGAATGGTCATTGAAAATGTGAAAGTTATTTGCTATAGATTTTTGAAATAAAATCATTTATAGTTTAGAATAATGATATATAAGTGTGTGTAGAGAGAAAAATACTCTATTAATTTCCTTTTTGTAATAAAATTAAATCTATTATCTATTTTAATCATTTTATTTAATAACCTTTTTGTAATAAGAAATTTTAAATTAATGTCAAATCTTATCTCTCCCTATTAGAAAAGGAAAAATTTTAAATCGTTTGCTAAAAAACTTTAAACAAAACGACTATAAATAACGAATATGAGTTAATTTGGGAGGGAAATTTTTTATTTACAGAGAATTAAGGAACGAGTAAATTGTTACTAAAATCCTCTTTGCACAAACGGGAAAGAAAAAAAAAATATATATATGTATATACATATACAAATTGAACTATATTAGGACGAAAGCTTGATGAAAATTGAATTCCCAATGTTTCTTTATTTTCTCGATTTTTCATCGTCTCCTTCTCAGGGCAGGGATTTGGTTTCCTTCGGCCGGTAAACTTGTTGCGTCTTATTGTTTCGATTCTTTTCCTCTTCATAAGGTGATTGGTTACAAACTACATTCCCATGAATTAATGGATTAAACCAAAGAGAAATGATACATTCCTAATAGGATCGGTTGGTTCTACAGCCTTCCCTTATCACAAGTGTTGGTTTGGTCGAACGAGAAATGTTAGCATCACCCTTTGTGTCATTTTAATTGTCACTCTGTTTAGTACGTGAACTCTACTAATATGATATATTATTATTTAAACAAAAAATAAAACAGGAAAATCTACATGTCAACCAGTGAATGCAGATGGAGACAAAGAGAGTGACACTAAGAATGATATTAGCATTTCTCTAGACGGACACTAATCTATGTTCTCAGCTCTAAAAAAAATTAAAACAAATAAACAAACCAGCCACACCAAATCCCACGTGCTGCTAGACGGTCCAAGAAAATTCAACTAAAATAAAGAGGAAAATTACATTAAACATAACCCTTGTAAAAGGAAAAAAAAAAAAAACAGAGGGAGGGGGCTCTCAACGGCTGGAATAATAAAAACCCATTGCATTTAATAGATTCTACACCTAAATTACCCACAAAATGAAGTAAAATCTTTCTACACCTGTTGCTTTGAATTCAAAAAAAAAAAAATCACTTTTGCCTCCTTTCCCATTAGAAAAACCTGTTGTTTGAGGTAAAAACTCCCAGTCTAATTGGGTCAACATCCTTATTGTATCTGCAAACACCATTGGTATACCAGTTTCCAATCCATGCTCTTCCCAAATGGCCACACCACTACAAACAATATCAATGGCATCAAGACAGTTACTCGATAAAGGAAACGGCCTAATGCGCAACTTAAAAGGAAAAAAAAAAAAAACAAAACAAAAACATACGTGCAAACATTAGGTGCTTGCTTGGCGATGTTTTTGTTTCTTTTTTTAAAAAAAAAAAAAAAGAACAAATACAGTTCTTGATTTTGGTTTTAGATTTTCAGAAAAAAGGTTATTGATAGCGACATTTGTTAGTTGCATTTAAAATAAAAAACAAAAACCATACTTGGCTACTACAATTTTATTATTTTCTGTCTCCTACCTTGTTTGATGCCATGCAGGCCCTATATTCTCTCTTTTATTTTAAATTTTCATTTACGCAGGAAAGAAAGATATAGTATGAGATGGTATATGGAACAACCAAGCTGAAGCCAATGCAGTTAGATTTCTTAGAGGAAGGAGAAAATAAAACTGGATAAAGAAAAATTGCTTATCAAGAATGCATTATTGCTACCCCAAGTCCAGTTACTTGATACTGGAACTCAACATAATATAAAGTTTGATTTTCAACAAAATATATGTGAACTTTAGCTTTTCTTACCTCACTTTTCTTCCAAAAGAAGAGATGTGCAAGAAAGAAGGGATGCTAATTCCTCTTGTGTCGCTGATCCGGAACCTTGCCATCTTATTCTACCAAATTTGTCAAGCAGGAATATATATCTGTGCAGCAACAAACATTGACAATACAGGTACTTTGTCATCCAACAATCAAAGGATTTCAATCAAAAGCAGCTAAAACAAAACTTGCGTACCCGGTAAGAAGGTTCAATATTTTAAGTTCTTTTCTGAAGTAATAGTGATCACCGAATGAATACACAATCTGCTTCTTAAGTGTATCAACCTTTCCATCATCCTTAGATTTCTTCATTATCCGAAGGAGCAGCCTTTTAATTGGACTCCGACAGAGGAGCCATGAATCTATGAATGATATCTGAAAGAAAGAAGCTTTAGGAATAGATTGTATCGAATGTGATTAAATACTGAACAGACAAATAAAACAAACAATAAATAATTACACAAAGCATGGCACAATTAGATGAGTAAATCGGCATAATAAGCTGTTCCACCGGTCATTGGTGGAAGTTAACAAAGTCCAATATAACGAGGTAATATATCCAAAGCAACGAGCTTAAACTAAGTGCATAAGATCAGATTATTTTGGAATATAAACAACAGATTACCTCGTATAGATGGGCATCTTTGGAACTCTGGAATGCATCAAAGAAAGGCACACTCCAAGAATCGATCATTGACTGTCAAGGAAAGATGACATTGTATTATAACATCTACAGTAACCAAAAATCCCAGTTATGACAAGAAAAAATAGACATATGGTTTAGAATTCTATCACGTCTAAATCTGCTACAATGAATTTAACGACTTCAATATGAAATTAAATAACCAAAAGTCTTTCTCAGTAAATATTTCAGACCCATATTGCAATTTCATCCCTTCAATCTCTTAAAATATAATTTCAAAATCCTGTTACGCCAAATCTCCTTTAAGTACAACTACATTTCAATACCTGTGAGTTTGCTCGAAATGAAAGGCACAGTAAAGACACCTTAGGGACGGGTGGCTTATCAGCATCAGCTGTATTTTCATTTCCTGAGGAGTCAATAGGCAATTTCAATGCTTTACCATCAGAGAAGTTCACTTCTACGGTAGGAAACTTCACGGCTACTACTGTAGGAATTATTATCTTGTTTGCTTGAGCAATCTACACGCACAAAAAGGAATGCACCCACCAGCTAAGGATTAATCTACTCATATAATTTTGAATAATACCAAAAGTACTTGGTCTTGCATTGACATCGTAGTTAGGTCTCCACGTGATATGACAACTAATTTGTTATAGCCTTCTTACGGTGAACGAAAAGATGAACCCGAAGTAACGTGAGTGTTTTGTATTGCATAGAACAGACCCACAGGCCACATGGCATAGATAGTAGCTATAATCATGGTAGCAGCAGTGAAGTAGGCAGTGGTATCAACATCTTACGGATTGGTAAAAGACCAATCAACAAGAAATTGACAGGTCAAATAACACATTTTTCTGTGGTCAAAACTTGGTAAACAAATTGCATTTATGGATGGCATTCATCCCACAGCCACAAGTAGGAGCCACAATGAACCATCCCTAATGGGGCATGGACGGCGAAGCGCCCGAACCAACATACATAGTTAAATAAAAACAAAACGACGATAGAGTATGTGTAATGTCTTTTTCAAATGTGTCTGTTTTATTATTGAAATTTGGATTGAATTTGCTAATATTGGATTTGTATTATACACCTATGAATTTCACTTGAATTTAGAATGGTTTTCATTTCTGTATAACTAGAATATTTTGCCATAAACATCATGGCGGCGCGAGTTTGGGGCAGGACTGTCCCAGCAGGATTCCCCAATCCCGTCTGCTCCCGTCTAGGCGGGAATGAGGGCCCTTTCGCAGCATGGGGGCAGGGACGGGGTAGCAAACCCCGACCCCATTCCGCTTCAATGCCGTCTCTACTCTCTAGGAGTATTACTTCTCATAATCCTCGTCACTACTTACCACACAATCCACCGAATTCCTAACTCAAAAATTTATACACGCAAATGCAAGTCAAAGACTCAAAATCAAACCCATTTGGTGCAATAAGAGACTCATTTACATTGACAAATGTCCTCAGGCTAAGGATAATAAATAAAAGTGTATAAATAAAGAATGAACTACATTGACAAATGTGACATTGAATTTGACAAGCGTGTTACCTTTCCACCATGTTTTTTGAGCTCAGAAATATCAGCAAAGTATCCCCGGTTCATCTCATCTGCACTGGGCCCTAAATTGCTCTTAACAAATTCTCCAAACAAAAGGGTATGTTTTTGTTCTTTTTTTCTTTCTTTTTTTTCCCCGCTCAATCAAGCACAAGAAAAGGAAAATAAAAGAATCAAGTAGTGTAGAAACTCACAGCCGAGCACGTTCTTTCTCTACTGCATTCTTGCTTCCAAGCTGAAACCAAAAACGGGGTTTTGCCAATTTCCATTACAACACAGAAATTTAAGCTCAAAACCCGAGAGAGAGAGAGAGAGAGAGAGAGAGAGAGAGAGAGAGAGAGAGAGAGAGAGAAGAGAAGAGAACAATTTCCGGGCAAGAAAAATAGGAAGCTGGAAATACCTGGTAAATGTCAAGTAAGCGATTGGAGGTTCTTTGAGCTAAGAAATGCTGGGAAAGAGGAATTTCGTACAAAAAATCCTCATTTTTGTGTTTGAGCCTCGAGATTTGAGAAGTGAAAATGGAAGATCGGGTTGTTATTCGCTTAAACCCCAACATCTTTTCCTTTTCCTCCTTCCTTCGATTTGATTTTCTCTCTCGCCGTTGGGAAATGAGAATCGAAGGGTTTTAGAGGAAATAGTGAACAGAGGAACTGAACTCTGGTGGTGATTACCAGTTTCAAAGAGGCCTGGCCCAGGCCCATTTGAATTCAGGCCTTAGTCTCTTGCTTTCTCGAGCCCACTCCTAACTGCTCTGCTAAGAGCATTACATTTCCAATGTAATGTTATCAATACTTTTTAAAATGATGTCATTTGTTATGTTAAATTTATACTTAGTGAATTGATGTGCCAATATTTACTCAGTATTTTCTATATTGTATCATGAAAAACTTGAAAATTAATCTGGTTATTTTGTAAGTTCTTCTTCTTTACAATCTGAGAAATATTAAAAAGCAAGTCTAACAACTGTGAAAAGATACGATCATTGATTATGAATAAAAGGAAAAAAAAAAATCATCTTTGAGTGGCTCTGCCATTGATCACTGATTCCAAAAAAGAAAATGCTTACGCTCTTTATGTTCGTAAGCTTAAGGATTTCATGATGTACAGATAAAACTGGTATTGTGTTTGTTTCGGGTTGTTTTTTATTTGCCTTCTTTGTAGGGTTGTTGCTTTTGAAAATTTTTTTTCAATTGTTTGGTTTGTCCGGGATTATAAGTAGCAATAGACAAATGAAAGCTTTAAAAAACACATATAACATCATGGATAGTGGTGGAACTTTGGGCCGGCGCGCATGCCCATATGCCGGCCCATCTAAAGTTGCATGTTCGGGCTCGGGCTCGGGTAGCCTGAATTTGGTCACCACGTTGGGTCTGTTGCCGTGTAGCGCCATCAACCACCGTCCGCCGGAGTTTTTTTTTTTTAATTTTTTTCCGGCCAAACCCGAATGCCCAACCCGCCCAAAGTCTGATTTGCCAAAAAAATGGTCAAAATTCCGACCATTGGTGCCCGACCCGAAATAAGCCTAAAAACCCAAATTTTACCGGAATGCCTGAAAACCCATCAAACGGCTAGTTTTTTGACCGTTGCCGCCCGAACCCGAACCCGCCGAACCCTAAACTAGACGTTCACCCTGAATTTTTTGAAAAAAAAATCAATTTTTTAACCCGAAAATTTTCCTATAAATACCCCTCATCCCCCATACATTTTTCTCACTCAAACTATCTCAATCCCTCTCAATTTCTCTCAATCTCTATCATTTCTCTCAATCTCTCTCAATCTCTCAAATCTCTATTACAATTTTTCCAAAAACTATCACATTAGTCTAAAGCTCTCTCTCTCTCAAATCACTCTTATTTTTTTATAATAGATCCTTCTAGTTATAGTGGTATTCCTGTTGATGCCAAACACAACGTGGAAGAAGGACAATTTCCCACTAATGAATTTGTTACGCAAGAATCTACTAATCCGAGCCCTGGTGGACGTACTGGAGGTCGTGGTCGCAATGGTGGTGGGTGTGGAGAAGCGGCGAGTGCCAGTGCAATTGCGCCTGCAAGTGTTGTAACCTCTAGGAGGAAATGCAAGCGCACCTCGACAGTTTGGGATCACTTCGACATAATTGAGGAGATCGACAATGAAGGTAACACTAAACATATAGCTTAGTGTAAATATTGTTTATCTAAATTACAAGGTGACACTGTTCACAGTACCACACACTTGAGAAGACACTCCGAAAAGTGTCTTCAAAAGCTTAGCCAATCCGGCGGACCCGAACTCCGCCAAACACAATTATCTTTTGATCGCGCAATCGGTGGTCTAACCACTTGGAAATACAATCCGCAAGTAGATCGTATGGAAGTTGCACGAATGATAGCTGCTTTAGATCAACCATTTAGTTTTGTAGAGCATCCTAATTGGCAACAATATATTAAGGTTGTACATAATCCTAATGCACAGTTCACTTCAAAAACTATTCTTAGAAAAGATTTATTAAAATTATTTAAAAAAGAAAAAGAAGCATTAATAAACCTTTTACATTCGACTAGTGGGTGCGTTGCGTTAACAGCAGATATTTAGTCCGCCGTTGCCAATAAAGATTATTTAGCTGTAACCGGACATTACTTTAAAGGATTTGATTTAGATAAGAGAATATTAGGTTTTAAATGTGCTCTAGGATCACATAATGCGGATTTAATATATAATACTATTTTAAATGTAATTGATAAATTTAGATTAAGAGATAAAGTAATGGTTATAACATTAGATAATGCTAGTGCCAATACAAAAGTAATTAAGTTCTTTGAAAATGATTTAAGTTTATTCGGTGACGGTACTATTTTTCACCAATGTTGTGCATGTCAAGTAGTTAATTTAATTGTTAAATCTGGTTTAAAAGAAATTGGTAATCACATTAAAAGAATTAGAGATAGTCTTACATGGATTCAAGGTAGTAACCAAAGACAAGAAGATTGGTTTAGGTTCTTACAAACATTAAATATACCTCCTAGAGCATTAGCGTTAGTTATGCCTATAAGATGGAACTCAATTTACATAATGCTTCAACAATGCATCCCCTATAAGGATGCTCTAACAAACTATATGTGCGTAAAAATAAGAGTAGGACATATAGACGCATATGATTGGTAAATTGCCGAAGTTTTGTATCAATTTTTAGGTCAGTTTCATGAAGTGACTCTAAAACTTAGTGGAACATATTACCCAACATCACTTTTAGCTTTAGGAGAACTTTTACGAATTAGTATTTTATTTAGCAAATATAGGGAGAACCCAATTTTAGCAGTTCCTATCCATTCTATGAAAAAGAAATTTATAAAATATTGGTATAAGTTACCTTTGTTGTATGGTTTAGGTACTATTTTTTTATCCTAGATTAAAATTAGAAGGTTTAGAAAGTGGTTTAGACGAAAACCCGCATTCATTCTTGAATGTTTTCAGGTTGAAGAAGAAGAAGAAGACAACTCAAACAGAAGCTGGGAGTGAATCTTCATCAACAAGTGGCAATGACAGCGGCGGCTACAGCTTTAACGAGCTTATGACGTACCTCAGTGAAGGCTTAGTAGTCAACAGTACGGCAGAATCGTTTAACTTAGTTCAATGGTGGAGGGCACGGGCATTAACTTGGCCAATCCTAACTCGATTGGCAATGGATATATTTTTGATCTCAGTCTCCACTATCTCATCTGAACAAGCCTTCAGTACTATAGGAATAATACTTGAGGAACGCCGAAATGCATTGCAAAGGGATATTGTTGAAGTCTTGCTTTGCATTAAGGATTGGGATTAGGCCGATCAACGTTTACAGGATACAATTTCACCGGCAAGCCAAGAATGGATTGATGAATTTAATCGATTAATATTTAATTTTAAAGACGATCCTTCAGCTTCAAATTAAATTGTAAATTTGTAATTTGTAAATATGTATTTACTTTTGATATTGTATTTGTAATTGTATAACTTTGTAAGTTTGTAAAATTTGTAATTCGTCACAAAATGATTGCACGCTTTTTTCCTTGCCAATTTGTTATCCCAATTGAGTTTTTCTTGGTAAGGTTTTTAACAAGACAATCATGAATTACGAATTTAATATACATGATTAATTTATTAAATTGTGTTAATAATGTATGTTGGATGTTGATTTTGATTTTTATATAATTTTAACACAAACTAATTTAATAATTAGTAAAATTAAAAAATATTAAAAAAAATTTGGGCTATTCGGGTGGCCCGGCCGGGTTCGGGCAACTAAATATAAGCCCGCGGCCCGTTTAAGTGCATTTTCGGGCTCGAACGGGCGGCCGGAATTTTTTGGGCGGATCGGGCTCGGGCTCAGGCAAAAACTCTATATTTTCGGGCAGTCGCGGGCGGCTCGTCCAAAATTCCAGCACTAATCATGGATCGCCTTTGCGAGATCATCCACGTTAGGATCTAAGAAAAACCAAATTATTATAAAGCTTAGGAATTCATGTATTGGCAAAATTTTCCTTACAGAAATGACAAAAATCAAATCCGACACCCAATGAACTACCAATAGAACATATATCAAAACTTAAACATTCATTTACATTTACCTGGTAAAGGATTCATTTTACCAGGTAAATGAATCATTTAACATGGATAATAGGTTTTTTTACAATATTTTTTAAAATTTAAGTAAAAAAAGTAATTTTATAAAAATTGAGAGGTCAAATTGTAAATTTTAAAAATTAAGGGGTCAAATTAAATTTTTTTTAAAAGTTGAGGGGTGAATATTTTAAAAATTGAGGGGTCAAATTTTATTTTTAAAAAATGAGGGGTCAAATTTTAATTTTTTAAAATTTAGGGTCAAAAGATATATATATATATTTTTTTTAAAAAATTATTAGAACCACAAAGCTTTTGGACAATTATATTTGACCCGTGAATAATAAAATTTATTATTCTAATAGCTTAGGGGTATTTTTGGTGTTTAAATAGTGGTAAACGCTTCATTTATAAAAAAAAAAAAATGCTATTTATTTCTTATCTCTAAACTTTATGCTATTTATTTTTATTGAAGTTCAAATAATTTTATTTCCCTCATTCCTCAAAAAATTAAAATAACAATAAGGAGAAATAAAAAAAAAATCTTATTAATGCTCCAACAGAAGTAAAATCCTAGATCCATCCCTGGCTATGGGTAGATTCAATTATGCCTTTATTATGTTATATTATTATCGATTTGGGATATTTCCAAAAAAAAAAAAAAAAACAATCACTTGCATTGCAAATAAATTTTAACAAAACATGGGATTCCAGTGAATCCTTTAGTTGCAAGAGTCAAAGATCATAACTTTTCAACAAATAAAGTAGACAAAGATCATAGCACATATCATAGTACTATGTCGGAAGAAAGACGTTGCTTGACGGGGGCTGCTCGAAGAATTATGGTTGCTGGAAGAATCGTGGATGATATTAGAAGAATCGGCACGGTACTTGGCAATCCATCCTTCAATTATTTCTATTTCATTCTTTCTTTGCATCACCAACCATTGTGGATCACTTGGTCTTGAACTTAGTAGATCCAAGCAGTGAGAACCTGAAACGACATGCATACAAAAATTAAGCATTAATTCTTATAGAACATGCCAACTTGTAAAGGAACGTAATGGAAAACGTAAAAGGTATGGGAAAGGAAATTAGAGAAATAAGAAAGAGAATCATTGATTTCAGTTTCTAGTGTTTACTTAATCATCAGCTATTGGATATATCGTGTTTGGTAAAGAAGATTCCTATCATGATTCGAATCATGATTCATGGTTCGTTATAGTATTTTTTCTCACAAAAAAGACATGAAAATTGAGAATGATTATGAATTATAATTCTAAATTTATGAACCAAACGTAATATTTATTAGCTTTAGGAATAGCAATTCTGATAGCGAACCAAACGTAATGTTTATTAGCTTTAGAAATAGCAATTCTGATAGCTTAAGTACTGAAATAATTATGCCTAATAAGGCAATAAAACTACTATTTGTTAAGATATAATAAGATATGGAAAACCAATATCATGAAGTAACTTTTCTATATATATTGACCTTCATTCCACTTAAAAGAAATAAAAAAAAAAAAGAAGATTGATTAATTTTACTTTTCTATTTGTTGTATCAAATGGATCCACTAAATTAGTTTCTTCATTTTGTATGTAAATACATGAATATGTGAGAAAAAGAAACTCTTCGTACATCATAATTAGTAAACACACACTTAAATATATGTATAAAATTATTGATTAAAGAGACGTTTGATTCATGAATTAGAATTATTTTTTCATAAATTATGATTTAAATCATGGTTTGAATTTTCTAGCATTCCCTAAGTTTTAGTCAGATTATGATCTCCCAATACGGATTGAAAAGGGTTTTATCTATCAAATTGCAGTTTTTAAATGTCAAGTCAAAGTGTTTTTTCTCCCCTACATATACAAGCACTGGTGTATTTTTTTTTTTTTTTCCTTTTTCGTGGAACATTTTTTCTAGTTTTGCTGTTGTTTTTTTTTTTTTTTTTCCGCATTAATTATAAGAAACTCATTGAATGTTGTACCATTGTCAGTGGTGACTGCAACAACACTTTCCGTTATATTCTCCAGGACACTGTAATGGAAAAAAAAAAAAAAAAAGAACAACTAGTTAAATAGAGATAATAGTGAAATAACAATTAGTAAACACACAAACATATTTGCTTCTTACCCTCCGCGACTGTAAGGATCTCTTAGACCATTAGAGAAAATGATGTTGCTCGCAAATTCATGAAAAACCAATTTTATATCCTATAAAAACAAGTTATACGCATAAGAATTAAAGAACAATTCTTACTAACAATTAATGCAATAACAAAAGTACTTTCAACATAATAATTGAGAATTTTCTAATAGTGCACTTTTATATAGATATATTCATTAATACTAATGCATGTCAAAATCTCAAGAAATAAATAATATACAAACCAGATAGTTAATGAAAGTTGAACAAGAAAGTGTGGATTAGACAATCATGAAGTTGTATATATTGAAAGGAATTTGACTTTATAACGGCTTGGATTTCCACTTTAAAAAGAAACTTTTAAATGTATTTATGAATCTATGATTATTTTATGTTAATTAAGACGATGTGAGAGTCGAGTTATTTATAACCTTTGCGTATATATATACATATATATATATATATATAAAATAAAGGAAACACATACATGACCTCCATAGTAGGTCGTGACCCAATGGGGCCGGGGCACGACACCGTAGAGTCTCTTGCAGTCATTGGTGTAACTCTCTAAATCGAAATGGTCTTTCGGGAACATTGAATCTTCGTCGCTACCGTGGGCAATAGGCATCACCATCTCGCTACAACTCTGAATTAATACACCTCATGACACAACAATTTTCTTCAACCAAAAGTAACGTATGCATACACACGTACATACGTATAAATATCATTGGGAAAAGAGAAATGCCAAATCATTTTCACAAAAACTCCTATATATAAATTATGATGTAGGAAAATCTCGCACAACTAGCAAACATTGACGTAAAAAAAAAAAAAAAAAAAAAAAAAAAAAAAAAAAACTATTTCTTGTGTGCACATTCGATATCATATGCATGCTCATAAAGAATTATATCATAAGCATCATAAATATTGTATGTGTGTTAAGATTCACTCGTCTTGAGGAATCTAAAGCCCCGTTAATTTCACCGATTCGAATTTAGAATTTAAATTTTACTGCAGTAAAAAGTTCTCACAAACAGTCACATCTAACTTTTTTAGAACAGTAAAAAACTCACATAAAGTCACATCTCAACTCGAATTAAAAACTCGAATTAACGAACTAAACGGGCCCTAAGTTGAATTGAGTAAATTTGAGTTCTTAATGGATTGATCATCTGTACATAGCCCTGCGAATAAGTGGTTAAAGAACCACAATATCAGTTTGTTTATGTCTTTTTCTATTTTACGTGTTTCTTACATTTGTTGCAACAAATTTAACAACAAAATTGGTAAAGAGACATATAACCGGTACTAAATATACTTGCATGTATAAAAAATATGCAGAACTAGCCGTATTCATGTTTGTCCAGAGTTTGATAAATGACTAATTTACCTGCCAATACCAGCCGTCTAGAAGTTGGTCTGAGAGATTATTTCCACTTATGTTATAGCATGACCTGTTTCCCCGATAAGCTGAAACGCCAGCAAATAATTTTCCAAGAGTATCGGTATTATTAGGAGCTCCATCAATGGCATTGCACAGATGGCTAAGCGGACGAGTTGAAGGCCCATTATATTGAGCTGCTCCGCAATATACTGTGTCCAAGTAGTCCTTAAGATCAGCACTTGTTTTTAGTTTACTGAAAAAAGAAAAAAAAAATCAGTGAAACTGTTAATTGGAGACGAATCATGTCAAATACTAGTAAAAAAAAAAGAAAATCTAGAGAACTGCGGCCCACTGGTAGGTGATCACAAAGATTTAAGTACTTTTTTAACCACTATAATGAATGTTTTAAACTTAAGAATTTTTTAGATCTTTATATAGTAAGCATAAAGATTTCTCTCTTTTTTCTCTTTATATATTAATTTAGAGCTGCTGGAGACGCAAAACTTAAAAATAAATAAAGATAATGACACAAAACTTAAAAATAGAGTTGCTGGAGACGCATTTCCTTCTTTTTTTTTTTCCCTCTAAGATATATAGACAAGTAGTGTATGAAACTTATAAATTTTTGTAACTCTTTTTCTTGTGCCAACTTGTGCACTTCTCTTATGCCCGTTTGTTTCTTGAGTTTAAATCACAATTAAAATTTTTATTATAGTGTTTATTCTCATAAAAATTTAAATTTAATTTTTTTTATTACAGTATTTTCTCTCACATGAATTTATTTTTTAATTTAAATTTTCAACTCAAATGAATAAACTGAACCGTTCGCCCAATCTTATTGTGTAAGGTTAAGAGAAGAAACAGTCTTATGCCCCTCTTTCATTTCAATATACATACGTATATATATATATATATATATATTCTTTTGCTATAAGATTTCTAGTTAATATATATACTAACCCGCAGGTCTTGAACTTCCTGCTAAGGATTGAAAGACCACTAGGCTCGGAAGCCACTCTATCAATCTCGGCCCATGATTTTCGTATAGTTTCATAGCAACTTTCACTAGTATCCTGCTCCAAAATCAGTTTGTTCGTTAACTTAAATAACATCATTATTGTTGTAATCGAGAAAAAAAAAAAGAAATTGGTCATAAAGTTTGGTTACCTTAAAATCCTTGGTTACAACGGAATAATATCCAGATTCAGGCGTGATGTCATCAAAGTACAGAATCGGAGCCGAAGAAGCTAAAGCCCCTATGGCGACGTGGGGATACTTAAGACGAAACCATGCTGCCAGCACTGCAAAAATCAGACAATTAAATGAAGACTAGTATTTAAAGTATATAAACAAAAATTTAAGTGACGTTTGGTTTATGGGTTTAAAATCATAATTTATGATTCTGATTTTTTAAATTTAAATATTTTATAAGAGAAAAATACTGTAGTAAAACTAAGAATCAGATCCTAAACCATACAGAATTTTTAAAACAAACGTCATCTTAGTATAAAAATACATGTTACCATAATGTTTAAAAAAGATTTATATATATAATTGTCATTGGAGACCTCGTGCTATTTTAGTAGTCAAATTATTATTATTATTATTATTTAACTTATGTCGCAGATGTGAATTTTTAAAGTGGACACTTACTGATCAATTAAACCAACGGTGGAAAAAAAAAAAAAAAAAATAGAGAGACTTACTTCCCCCATAAGAGCCTCCAACGACGATTATTGGGGAGTTGTGAGCAGAAAGCTTCTTCTTTACGTGCAAAAGCACAACTGCATAATCTGCTATCGCTTGGTCGGTGTTGAAATAACCGCGAATACTTGCATTTTTCATAGCTTTTTTGACAGATCCAAATGGCACTGATTTTCCATAATACCTATGCTGCAATATTATGCGTGTAATATAGCAGTAGTACTATTTTCTCACTTGGAAATAAATTTATTATATAACAACAATAAATTCTAAGTAAGGCTTCTCTCAAATAAGGAATCCATCAAGATATATCAAATTTGAGGGCATGAAAACTATTTAAATGATTTCATAAAAATATTTTATATCTAGTATATATGTATATGTATATATATAGTAGTTTTTGTTCAGTCGTTGTAATATTATTGAGGCTAATAATCTTATAATAATTAATTACCTCAATATATACTTGGAGAGCCTTAAGCCGAGGAGCGTTTTCGTTAAGAAAACCAATATAGCCGACGTCGTAGTCGATGGGCCCTTCTGCGCCGAGAAAAGCCAAAATTGGTGCACTTGAATTTGCGCCACCCCAATACTTGGAATTTATGGCATATCTTTGTTTAAAAGTGGTGAAGCTTTCAGGGCCATAGCTGAAGTGATCGAGTGTTTGAGGGTAATAAAGTGTCTCGAAATCCTTGGAAATCGATGATGATGAAGAAGAATTGGACGTATTTTTGGCTTCAAATTGAGATTTTCTGATCAGGTCATGAATTCTAAGCCTTGATGGCACTGCATTAGCAGAATTGATTGAGATGGAAAGGAAGAGGAGAGAAAACAAGTAAAATGGAATGTGTTTTTCAAGAGAGTTCGACGTAGCCATAACTCGCCTATCTTAAGCTTATTAGGAGACGTTTGATAAGAAAATTCATTCCATGATTTGAATCATGATTTATGGTTCGCTATAATGTTTTCTCTCATAAAAAATACACGTAAATAGAAAATAGTTCTAATCTCATTAGTTTAATTGTACGTGAATATACACACACAGTATGTGTATATATATATATATATATATACACACACACAAACACTATCTTTTTTTTTTTTTTTGAAATACGGGTACTTTTTTTTTTGGAAGAAAAATATAGTTCCAATTTTAAATCTTGCTTGACGTGATTTTTGGGCTTTCCTGAGTTTGAATGTGTTATGAATATGATCAGCTTTTCTAACCACCATCAGAAATTGAAGGATTCGCCGTCTTTGGTTATAATAAATTAATAATAAAAAGAATAGTTAGTCGGTTAATCCGATTAACATTTTGTTTATCAGTGAATGTCAAATCTTTATTCGATTGTGAATCGCAAAATGTTTTATTTTTATTTTTTTTTAAATCTTAATGGATTAAAAAAGAGAAATAGATCGATACATATCGGATATTAGCAATCATGTATCCCTGGAAAGCATTTTCAAAAAACAGAAAAAAAAAGAACATTAGAAAAAGAAACCGTAAATAATAGGGTATATGTATATATACATTGAGGGAACTAATAGGGTATATTTGATCGCGGCGTCTGTTAGTATGCGTATTTCTGTTACATATATAAACAAATGATCACAAAACTGAACTTGTAAATCATAAAAGGAAATCTCGGTCAATTGATCACTCAAGAGGCTACAACTTCATTATATATCTATATATATGGAAAGGTACACGTGCATAATTATTTAAAGTTTTTTTATTTTTGGCTTTTTTATGAGAATCACGATTATCTAGAGTTGTAATATTAAATGGGATCTTGGCTTATCTAAAAATCTAATCTAAAGTTATATATATATATATAAAGAGGGAGGAATGTCACCACATTTAAATGGAGCTTAATAACTCAAATTCTAAATTTATAATTTGAGCATAGGGATTTACAATCAATTAGGTTGCCTTCATCAATATCTTATCTAGAGTTAGTTATGTACATGGTTTTTCAAGTTCTTTTATTTCCATTTTGTTTGTTTTTAGGTAGTGGCTTTGTTCTTTTTTCCTTTAAAAAAAAAAAACACTTGGGGTGGAGAATAATTTCAAGACTCGGATTTAGTTGAATATGCATGTTTAAATTCATAATTTATATTGATTCTCAAGAAACAAAAAAATCGCAATTTATATCAACGAAAAAAATTCAATTTTTAGTTTTTTTTTTTTTTTTTAAAAATTTAGGAACAACGTTTTTTGAACTCTACACCTCAAGATAAAGTATTAGGCACTAGAGAAAAAAGAGTGAACGACGCCAAGGGGCACTGTCGAGCTCCCAACCATGAAATTTGATCCTCCGGCTCATCTAATGGTGAGCTTCTCGTTAATAGTAACAGTGTACAGTGTGGTGGTTCCATTTGGATGGATTTAATTTGGCTGGATCAATATGGTGTACCTAACTAAATAGGATCTTGGCCTATCTAAAAATCTTATCTAGAATTTTTTTTATTAATATATACAAAGGGAGAGAGGAATGTCACCACATTCAAGTGAGACTCAGTGACTCGAACCCTCAATCTATAGTTAGGGTGTAGGTACTTATAACCAACTAGACTGCCTTCGTCAAAATCTTATCAAGAGTTAATTAGGTACATGTTTTTTTTAATTCTTTTATTTTATTTTTTTTGAGTCAGGTGTTATCAATTTCAAAGGGATGCTAGTGTTTAAAGAATGAAGTTTCTTCGTTTTGGGTTCCTAGATTTCAAGAAGAGCTAGTATTTCATTCTGCTATATACATGGGCTTGTAAAATGAAATTCTCTGCCTTTCCAAAACAAAGAAGTTTCTTGTCGCATATGACTGAAACGAGAAATTTCAAACACATTTGAATTTTTTATCTTCCTGATCACAAATTCATAATTTCGATTTGATAAGGCGTGGACATCAATCAATAAACCAAGTTTGTTTTGAGCTACTTTTTGTACTTTGTATGCAATCTAAGGGTGCTTTTCAGTGAAAAGACTCGTTTGTTTGTTATATGATGGTGATTTCTTTGAAAAAGAATGTATGTTCATGTTTTCTCCTTAAGCATTCATCTAATGGTTCGTGGGATTCAATAAAAAGATTCGTTACGGTATTTTTTCTCATAAAAAATACATGTAAAATGAAAATAATTCTTAATTATGATTCTGAATCCATGAATTAAACGTCCCAATAACTTTTTCAATTATTGGAGCTGGTCGTTTTCAGTTAGTGGCTTTTGAAGTCGCCTTCTGTGTTTGGTAAGACCAAATCATCTCTCTCTCTCTATATGTATTTGGTTTTTAGTTCTGAATGGTAGCTTTTACTTGGTATGTGGGAGTTTGGATTTTGAAGATGGTCCTTGTTGACGGTCGAATTTCGTCAACAAAGAACCGGCCAGGTTACCTCTTGGTTTCCCGTTGGGTTACCGGCTGTGTGGGTTTTATTTAGCGTGTTAGGAAACGGTATGCTATTTGCGTGTATGTATCTATTGAAAAAACCCCTTAGATACTATTGACACAAGAGAGTTTATAGTGGTTCACTCTATAAACTTCAGAGCTACGTCCACTGTAATATTCTATTTCTTTATCTTTGGGTAAGATACAGTTTACAATGTATTTCCTTTGCTTTTTTTCTCAACCCCTTCCCCGTTGGGGTCTTCTACCTTTTATACTGGGGCTTCCTTCGCTCGGGAGGTTTCCCTCACAGTTAAAAACACTCGAGTGTTCTCCTTTGGTAGGCCCAGTCGTAGCCCACTAATTTGCACTGTTCATCCAATCTATTTAGTCTTCTATTACGGTTCTGTGCTTCTCCGTAATACTTTTCTGTCCCCCGTGGGGGCAGTCTGACAGCCCGTAATTAATGCTTACAGACCACCTCCACTTGTGCACGTAATCCACACTGTCTTCTATTAGGCGTTTCCCTCGTCGCCTGTGCTTCTTAACCCAACCGCCTTTTTTGAAGGCGACTTCCTGCGGTCGAGAAATCTCCATTCTGTTACGTCGGCGCCACAGATAGGTCGTCGCTTTAAGTAAGACCCCGTCCCGGAGCCTTAGCGGAGGGCTTAAGAGGAGCTTGCAAGCGTCGAGGAAATTTAAGCGTCGAGGGAACTTAAGCGTCGAGGGCTTTTAAGCGTTGAGGGCTTTTAAGCGTCGAGGGCTTTTAAGGCGTCGGGGGTTCCTTGCTTGGTGGGGTTTGATCAAGGCCACGTGTCGCGACATCTTTTGTCCACGTGTCAGCCATGTTTTCCCACACAACAGCTACCCCCCAGGTCGAGGGCGCCTTTTAGGTGGCCTCAGACTTAGGTTCGATTGCCTCTTAGTGCTTCGGGTGTGGGAAACCAGTCCCGAGCCTCCATTTGTAATGATGGCCTAGGACCGTCGGATATCCTTTGGGGAACGTAACCGTCGCGTCGATCGATTTCTCATGATAACGTACGGCTTTTAATTCAAAAGAACGGACGTTGGCCCTTGGATCGTGACCCTTCTGCTTCCCGCCCTATCTTTTAACCGTTAGATCTGGGCAGGTTTCCCGGGCCGTTAGATCTTTAAGGTCTTGATCCGATGGTCAGGGTCGAAGACGCTCGTCCCTTTAAATACCTGCTACGAGTTCGAGAGCCATTTTTTCGAAAACTCTCACTCTTTCACTCGCACCTGTTGGACCGCCGCCTTCTCTGACGAACTCCTTCCTTTCCAACTCCGTAATTGCGCAACCGCCCCTTCTTATCCGGTAAGCTTCCTCACCTCCTATTTGTTCACTTTTATACATAGGTTCCTTCCATCTCTTTGTTTCGAACCCTGTGTATTTTTTTGTGGAATGTGTGGGACGTAGAATATAGGGAAACTTACTTTGTTTCGTTTTTTCGCGTCTGTATGCCGTCCCTTTGCTGTTTGTGCGCTTCTGAGTCCTGGGTTCTGGGCCTGGATTCCTATGAGTCCTCGCCGCTACCGTTCTCGTATGAATGGTCAGCGTCTTGTCGCGGCGCTTTTTGAGTTGTCGTAGTTTTAGGGTAGCCGTTCTTTCATCCTCTCGACTTCAGGGTTTTAACTTAGCTCTTTGTCTGTTTAATCACCAGAACAATGGCCTAAAGTTCCCTCAGTCGAGAGGATTCTCCGGTTGTCCGTCCAGACCCCCATTCTGTGGTGGAGCTCTCTTGCTCGTCATCGTCTTCCAGCGTTGGATCCGTGCTGAGAGACGTAGAAAACCTCGAGGCCGGGTTCGAAGCCAGATTCGCTCCCGTTGACAGCTTCGGTAGCGAGTTCGATAGCTTCGAACGAGTTTTGGATGAGGCTGTGGAACGAATCCCCTTCACGGGGGGCAATGTAAGCGGGGTGGCCACTTCGGCGGTAGAAGCCCCTCTGGCCGCCACCAACGGCGAACCAAACAGGCCTTTCTTCACAGCCGATGCTGTGGCGTCAAAGGTCCGGAATAAAGACATCATCCGGGCTGTGAAGGAAAGGTGCATTAACGGGAGGTGGTTTGAATACCTTCTCCCGGACATGCACTTTAGTACTAGCATGCCGCCGACCGGATACCTTCCGGTCTACACCAGAGCCGTCACCGCGGGGATGACCCTTCCTGTTCATCCCTTTGTGAAGGAGTATTGTCATTTTTATGGCATTTCTCCGGCTCAACTGGCGCCCAATTTTTGGTACTGCTTTGCTGGTGCCTGGATTTTATGGCACCAGAAATTCGATGTGGACCTTCCCGTTGACGAATTTCGATTCATGTATAGATTATGCCACGTCGCCAAGTGCGATGGGTGGTATTTTTTGAGTGGTCACGGAAGGTCCCAACCCCGACTTAGGAAGCTCATACTGGGCACCCCCTCGTCATCACATGGGTGGAAGCCTATGTTTTTCATGATTCGAGGGCCCTTCAATTTTCACCCCAACGATCGCCTGCCCCGTCGAAGGCAGGTGCAGGCAGCGTTTGGGAATATGGGTAAGTTTCCTTGGCTTTTTGGCTGTCCGACTTTAATTCCTTTCGTTTTTGCTACTGACATTTCACTCGCATTTTAGTAAGTCAGGATCGGCCAAAGTTCTCCGGCAACAGCTTGGCGAGGATCGAAGAGGCTTTTTCTTTTCCGCCGGAGGTTCGTCACATTGAGACCCTCTTGACCCAGAAGAACCTCCGTGAAGCCGGCCTGATCCTCGATCTCCCAGACCCTGCCGACTTAGACGCCATCCGTCAGTACTTCCATCTAAACGACGAAGGTACGATTTGCTTTTGACACCCTTCTTTGATGCGACTTGGATTATTCCAATGCCGCCTGCGTGTTGACCTCGTCGTTCTTCTGCAGAAATGGTGTCCTTGAGGATCCAACTCCCTGGCGGCCAGTAGGCTGGGCCGAGCCAACCACCACCGCCAGAACAACCGCCCCCACCGAGCCATGCCGCCCAGCCGAAAGGGAAAGAAAAAGTTTCCTCTTCTTCCCGTGCCCCGAAGAGTAGAAAGTCCAAGAAGGGTCCTTCAGGGTTTGAGGAGGAACTGGTAAGGAATAAGAGACGCAGGGATAAGACATCGGTGACAGAAACGTGGATGCTGACGGTCCCCATCCCTGACATCGAGATTCCCTTGGCGCCGAGGGAGCGCGTGCTCATCCCAGGGGCCAAAATCATGGACCCTAAGTTCCAAGTCTCGGACATATCTGACGCCGAGATTGGGGCGATGCTGAAACTTCCTCCTCGCTTCTCTGTTGTCTTTCAGGCTCTCTATGAGTCCTTCCTTGAGCCTCACTGGGTTGCTGGCGCTCAGTCATCCTTGGTTGATCGTCAGCGGAAGCAAATTTCCTTCCAAATCCACGTAAGGCTAAAGCCTTCTCTCTCTCTCTCTCTCCCCCATTTTTTTTTTTAACCTTGACTTTTTCAGAGCCTGGTTCTCTCCATCCAAAACCTCCTTGACCTTGCTAAGTTTGAGGAGCAGAAGAATGGGATGGACGAGTTAGAGGCCAAACTTCAGTCCCTTGTCTCTGATGCAAAGCGAAAGCTAAGCGATGCCGAGGAGAAGAGGGACGTGGCCTTGGCCAAGCTGGCGAGCCTGGAAGAAGAGCTTTTAAAGCTAAACAATGAGATTATGAGTCTTAGGGAGCGGGCGGACTTATCTGAAAAAAAGCTGACCGAGGCGGCTACGGAGGCGGAGAGGCGTTTTCTTGAGGGGAAAACTGAGGGGAAGAAAGAAGCTGAAGCGGAAGTCGCATTTGCCTTCGACGCCAGGCGCGTCGAGGTTATCGAGGAGTTTAAGGCCTCCCAAGAGCTTATTGATATTCGTACCAGAGACTTCCAATCTGCAGGTCAACAAATTGTCGACCTGATCAAGAAGGAGCGTCCTGAGTGAGACTTGAGCTTTCTTTACAACTCCCCCCTCCCGTGGGTGATGACAATGCTTCTCCGCCTAGTGACGGCGAGGACTCGGGGGCTACAAGCGAAGCCTGAAGGACTTTTATCTGCCTCCTTTTCTTTCTCTCTTTTTTTGTTTTGTTTTGTGATAAAGAGTTTTTGTTGATCTGGACATCTGTTACTTTATCCGTTGTTATATACATTTATATATATATATATCCGAATGATCGCAGTTTTAATTTATACCTTGATTCGCACTCGCTGCTTTCTTTTAAGTCTTTGTCTCTCTTCTCTGGGAGACCTGGCGTCGCGCATACCCCCTGGGGTCGCTGTTTTTAGGAAATTTCTTGAAATTTCGCTAAGTCTTTCGCCTTTCCTCTTTGGAGGATCTGGCGCCGATTGTGCCCCTTGGGGTCGTCGTCTTAGGAAATTCCTTGGAATTTCGCTAAGTTTTTCGTCTTTCCTCCTTGGAGGATCTGACGTCGATTGCGCCCCTTGTGGTCGTCGTCTTAGGAAATTCCTTGGAATTTCACTAAGTTTTTCGTCTTTCCTCCTTGGAGGATCCGACGTCGATTGTGCCCCTTGAGGTCGTCGTCTTAGGAAATTCCTTGGAATTTCGCTAAGTTTTTCGTCTTTCCTCCTTGGAGGATCTGACGTTGATTGTGCCCCTTGGGGTCGTCGTCTTAGGAAATTCCTTGGAATTTCGCTAAGTTTTTCGTCCCTTTTTTGTTTTTTTTAAAAGAGACCCGTGGATCCCCCATTGTCTGTTTAACATAACCTTTGGTTTTTAAGCAGATAAGTTACGAATGGTTGAATTCTTTTCCTTCTGCAAACATATCAATTTATTCACTTTATAAAGAATACACAATTGAGATATGCGAGAATTTCATACATTATTGGTAGTATATCTTCAGTTGTTCCGCATTCCACGGGTGGTGGATCTTTTTACCGTCGAGGCTTTCCAAAACATAGGTTCTGGGACGCAGCAGGTTCCTTACACGGTAGGGCCCTTCCTAAGTTGGGCCCAGCGGACCGGTATTTTTAGGCTTCATGCTTTGCGTTACCCTTTTTAGTATTAGGTCCCCCGAGATGAACCTCCTCTGCCGAACTTTCTTGTTGTAATATCGCGCCGTCCTTTGCTGATAAGCGGCGAGGCGTAGTTGGGAGTCGAGCCTTTTTTCTTCTAACAAGTCGAGCTCTCTGTCCATGCCTTCCGCGTTGTCATCGTCGTTATGGACGATGGTTCTTAGAGTTGGCGTTTCGATTTTTATGGGGAGTACTACTTTGACGCCATATGTCATGGAGAAAGGTGTCTCACCCGTAGTAGTTCGGCTCGTCGTTCTGTACGCCCATAGGACCTTGGGAAGTTCCTCGGCCCATTTTTCTTTCAGATCGTCGAGTTTTTTCTTGAGGGTATATTTTAATATTTTGTTGACCGCCTCGACTTGTCCATTGGATTGTGGGTGGATTGGTGCTGAGAAATCTTTCCGGATGCCCAGGTGATTAGTGCATGAAAATGCACCATAAATATTGCTTTTGATTTATATAATATTAAAATATTTAAGCTTTAATTAAACAAATCCATTATTTTTATTCATAATATTTTTAATTGGAATTTGTCTAGTTTTTGCTTAATTATTTGCAGATAAAAAGCAGTGTAAAAAGCTACACAAAAATAAGCCATGAAAGCCATGTTTTCAACTA